TTAGAGATGAAATGCTTTAAAAACGCATACATATCGTAATAATGTTCGAATGATTTTTACATAACAAAGTAACCAACACTTGCTAGTTATTTATATCGTCGATAATAAATATTATGAAACGAACCAGAGAGTCGGACGGTCTATATCGCGGCGCCGTCGATAATTATCATTTAAGACAATCTAGCTTGCGGATTTAAAAAAGAAAATGACACAACATTCTCGTCGTTACTTTGCAACGCAGTTGGCATTTTCGAAATCTAAACGCACACATCGATAAACACACTTTTTCGCATTAATAATCGCAAGACTAATCTCAAAAAGTGTCATCCGTTATATTTATGTATCGTCTTTGATTGAGAACGTCTCGTGTGTCATTAAAACATATCGTGTGCGGTTAATAATAGGGTTTGTGCTTCCCGCGTAACTCGTTCAAATTAAACACGGACGTGTTCGAGCAACAAGAAAAAAATGTAGCGATATTAAAAATTTGATTATCTTTAAATTAAATTGATCTTTAGAGCAAGAAATAATTAAGTAGATCGTAATGTTGGACAAAAAAAAAAAAAAAGTAAACTGTAATTAGAAAAATGGTTCGTTTAGCGCGCGATAACTGCGTATCTTCTCGCAGTCAATCCGCCGGGCGGTATAATTACACCGATACCGCGCAATTTATAATATCGGGATATTATTACGTTTTACACACGCCGCGCTTTCGCAACTCGCGAGAGAGTTTGCTACATAGCGGTCGAACTGGTTTCGATCGTAAATTTATTAGGAGGAAGAGGCGCCGGAAGAGAACTTAGCCGGGAGAAAGCGCGCGCCACCGGTGGACCCGATTTCATCACGTAACCCGTCGAAGCCTCGCGAAATTACACTCGCTCGTTATGTCAACGTTGAATTATCGGCGCGAGGAACATCGAATCGCGCTCCCAGTTTTTCGCGATCAAGGTCGGTCGGGAAAATTGACGCGTTTTTATTTTACATCCGAAATAATACGCATCATCCTCTCGCACACGTAATGCGCGTTTGCGAGGAGTGTCACGATTGCGAGCGATACCAATTTATACTCCCGCGTTGACTTCCGAGAATCGTCGGAGGATTTATAGATGACGGGTTCGCGCGCATCACAATTGTCGTTCTGTGTCGAAGAGAACGCACGCGTTTGTTAAATCGACCGTTTCGGGAACAAGCTCTCGCCGATAAAAACTAAGACGGAAGATAAGAGACCTCAGCAGCGAAGAGACAACAACTTCTATATCCTCGCGGAGAGCGTAATTTTCTAAAGAAAAAAAAAACGCAAGATACGACACGGCGGTTTGGATTTCCTTTTTCGTGCGAAGCTCGCGTCTCTCCAACTGACGATGATGATCGCTTCTCGTCGCGGAGAAAACTCGTTTTGAATCCACGTTGTGGAAAAAAAAATGTCTAAGTGGATTGTGTTACGACTTGCATTCGTGCCGCGCGTATATGCAAATGCACTTTTCTTCGGACCGTTGTTGCCGCGCCGATGCGTTACGTGCAACTCATCGAGCGAAACAAGCCGATGAGTTGTTACGATGGAACGTATGTACATACGATTCGTATAGATGTGAATGATTACGTTCGCGACGCGCGATGAAAGTATCTTAGACGCATACCGGAGAGGTTTTAATCTTTGCCGGTGAATAATGCGCTAGCGGTGAAATATCGGATCGACATTTTATCAATAGAAGCCGAGATTGCGTGTCGAAAAACACAAATTCATATTTGCTATATAATTTTAAGTAAACAAATAATTTATAATCAATATTAATTATATAATAATTTAATTATTAAATAATATTAATAAACATAATTAATAATATCCATTTTTTTGTTTTTAATTTTCTTTTGTATTTAATATTGAAGCGATTCAAATCCGTTAAGAGAAGCACAAATTCTATTTATTGTGCACTCTTTGGTGTGGATAAATTCCATTGCAGATAAGAAGTACCAACATACCGCTCCAAATATTGTATCTTGATCCGACAGATAATTAAGTTTTCTGGTCGTCTCTCAGAATGTTTCAGGAAAAGAACATAAGTACGTGCTGTCTGCGGAGCAGGAGATTTATTAAATAGAGTTATTTCGTACAATTACGATGATAAGTAAGCAAAAAAACTTTGAACAAATGCTATGATTTAAGAAAATAATTGGTACTAATTTAGTTCGAGTACAATGCCACGTATTTTCTACCTATAAATGTGATCTCATAAATCTCCGGTTTTGCGGCCTTTAATTACACTTGTCCGGTTCAACATTAAATCTTGTACAGAGAGTTGTTGCTTCTACCGAGAGAGAGAGAGAGAGAGAGAGAGAGAGAGAGAGAGAGAGAGAGANGAGAGAGAGAGAGAGAGAGAGAGAGAGAGAGAGAGAGAGAGAGAGAGAGAGAGAAGAAAAGATATAGAGATCTAATTGCACATATCTTCTAGCGCGAGTTAAAATGTTTTCATAATGTTATTATAAAGACGATGTGCGTTAACTTCCTCATGCGTATTTTAATTCCCAAACATCATATCTCGAATTAATATTTTGATGAAACGTCATATACATACACATAGGTCACATACACGTATAAGAGCGCCTAATTAAAAACTTCATTTACATAAAAGGCCCCACCGCAAAGAACATCGACTGTCCTCTTCCCTCCAAAGCGCGCCATCTGGACATTTTCATGTTTTTCCTGCCGCGAACGCGACGAAGCTGTAAATGCGTGTAGATTGAGTAACCACCGCCGACAATTGCGCCGCTCTCCCTCCCATTTGGTTGCATCGTGCGAGAAATATTAATACTTTCGACTTCCTTCCGGGGGAGAAAGAGAGGAAGATCCGGGTGTGGCGAGCTCCCCCTGAATCCGTCGTTAACTCGTTCCTACCCGATGTGTATATACACACACACACACACGCGTACGTAAACACGCGCTTCGCGACAGGGGGCTGAAACTTTAAACATAAATACACACACACACACATTCCGTCTCTTTCGTACCGTCGCTTCTCCTATTTTTGAGCGTAAATGGGATAACAATGAGCAAACACACGCGCCGCGGTGAGGTTCCATATTTAATACTCAGGTGGATGGATGCTTCGCGAAATTGCTCTTACGGTCTATATACGGTGGTCGTTGCGGTTTTGTTTCGCGAATAGGAGAAACGTCGAATCGCGCGCGCAAATCGTAACGCAGAACCGATCCCCCCTCCCACATCTCCTAATATTCGTTTTCAACAACCTGATTTTCGCTTCTGCAGAAAAAGTACATTTTTTTTTCGTAATATTATTTTAAATTTATCGTGCGAACAATTTGCGTTCAACGGAATTTTATGTAAAAAAAAACTTTATCGTACGCGATATTTATTACATCTAATTTCTATCTCCTCTTTGTTAGTTTGTTGCACAATATTCAATTTTTTCGTTGAGTGTATTTTTTTAACAATTAAAACTGAGATTCATCTCGGGCTCTGAAGTCTTTAAACTAATAATATGATTGGTCGTTTAAGAGCCGTTCGCTGGATGTTAATGCGGGAAATATGTCTATATATATATATGTGTGCGTGTGTGCACATATATAATCGAATTCACGTTTTTCACGTGAGTTTTTTTCATTGTATTTTTTTAACTTATTTGTTATTTTACTAAAACTTGTTTTTATTTACTCATTAGTTTTTCATCTTGTTTGTCGTTATATTATTTTTTTCCACTCGCATGTGACGTTCGAAGAAGCGTCACTATCAGCGAACGAAATGGCGAGCGGAAGTTCTCTCGCGATAAGTAAACGAGCCTTCGGCTCGGGATGACAGTGATGTGTGCGCGCATAAATTAATGTAAGAAATTTTCATTTTATATGATTAAAACCCATACGTTATAATCTCTATTTTCGAGAATTATACACCTGTAATATTAACTTAATCCAGTGAACGAGATCTTTTTTTTTGATTATTTCTTCTTCATGTTACCGCGCGGCAGACCCGAAGGGGATCTTCTTGCCAGATAACGGAAACAAATTGCGCGGTTTAAGAGGAAGAAAACGATTTTCCCAGGATTGTGCGTGTCTCGCGTGTTACGCGCGTATCGCGAATGACTAATTTCATATGATTAACGTTGCGCGCTTGATAGCTGACATTGCGCGATTAACGCATGCTTTTTCCGCGCGCGCGCGGTAGTACTTCGTTTTCGTTGTATTTACATGTTCCCTTAGCGATTATGACAGGCCGGTGAACAGTCTCTAATACATGCCGGATAGAAAACCGCCGCAATTACACAGTCATCATCGTCATCATCATGTTTCAGATAGCGACCGGAAGCGGTGGTTTTATCCGATTTTACACGAGTCCGCGGAAACGGACGGAGTTTTGCAAAAGTCCGGGAGTGTCTGAGATCGCGATCGCGCGAATGAGAATGCCGTTCGTCGTGTACACACAGTAACGTGTCTGAGTAAGAGTGATATCTCAGTGAAATCATCGATGACGATGAAACGACGGGAACAAACAGTGTAACGACGCCTGCGGACGCGACTTTCGATTCCTCTTTGCCTTCACAAGCGAGTAGGCAGATGCGAAAGCGGAGTTGTTTTATTTTTACCGCCTCTCTCTCTCTCTCTCTTTCTCTCGTTTCTCAATAGACGAGCGAATACGTCAGCTAAACTTTGTACTTGTAACAATTTTGATTGTGTAATTGTGATGTAACGAGACGCATTTGTCATAATAATTTATTAGGTGTGCGTGTTGAATTCTCCGTCAAAATTGCTTTGTGATAAAATGTGTTTCGATCGATTCAAACAATCGATCCGTCAAATTTTAACGTACGACACGCACGTCAGTTACAAACTACGTTTATTTTTAAAACTCGATTAAACACGCAATTATGTGAAATTATTTAAATAGCTCGTGTTCGCGTCGCGCGGTATTTAGCGCACGATATTCGACAACGTGTTCTCGCTCGGTAACTGTAATTATAATCCGTTAATCAAGCCTACGCATGTTTCAGGTGATCACTAACGGTCTCAAGTGCGACTCGGACGACATCGACGGTTTGACAAACGGTGAGTCATACAACACTTTTCTATCTCTCTTTCTCTCCTTGTCTCTTATTATTATTATTTTTTTTTTCATTCATTCCTCTGTGAACGAGCGTGCTTGAATGATGGGAGTGACACGACGTTAAATTCATTGACTCGGTAGCGCCTTAATTTCATTGACGAAATTCCGCTGCGAAGGGTCATCAATGAAACTGTTCAGGGCTGTACCGAAGTTTCGAATTTTTGCTTCAAGTTTACAATTGTTTTTTTATATTTTTGTTAAACATAAAACAATTTTTTTTTGTTTTCCAATCGTTTCAAGAACTCCGCAAAATAGACAAAATGGTCCCCAGGTTAGGTCGGAGTGAATAATTTCGCTCTACGCGAGCGAGAACGTGAAACGCTTTGTTTTTTTTCTCCTCGATTGACGCAACCCGTCGTTCTCGTTCTTCGGCGAGAGAGATTGCGACGGCCCTGACTTTGCCCTTTCGGTCATCTCCCGAGCGAATGTAAAGCGCGTGTGCCTGCAACAACGACGGCGGCAGCGGCGGCGATTCACGGCCGCATTTTCTCACGCTACTTCAGCTGCTTCTTGCTGCCGGTGCAATGATCTCCCTCTTTCGTGGCCGCACATCTGTCTGAAAATTACGTTCCGAGCTCTGCAGGCTTCTTCATCCCTTCTATCTCTTTCTCTCTCCCGCCTCGTCTCGTTTAATTCGAGATCCGACGTATCACATCTCGCCGAACAGAACACTCCCTCATTCTCCTGTTTCTGTCTGAAATTAATCGTTTGACACGCTTCGAAAGTCGAAATAAACTTTCCGATTTGTGTAACTTCCTCGTCACGTAATTCATCATTAGATAATAGCGAACAATTTTGTCAATTTCAGGTAAATTTTATACTGAAAATTTTATTTTCGCATGAACGTGTGTAATAGTAAAATCAGTTGGCGGTGATAAAGAGTTAGGTAAGCTTTGACGGTGAAAGCAGGAAGAGAACAGGACGCGCAACAGGATATCAGATTCCCATCTTGTTCGCTGATTATTTTTACTTTTATTATGTCATTTTTTGTTTTGGGTTTTTAATCCGCAATTATCGATAGAAAAAAACTTCAAGATCGTTTTTTGTGATATTTTTAACAAGTCTCTGACAATCTCTTTCACCGGGATTCAAGGGTAATTACCTCGCTGCAACGAGATGCGCGGAATGATATTGCGATTTTATTTAAGATTTTCATTGTTAGTCAATAATTAACGATTATACCGTAACCGCGATTGTACGTCGTTAATTATTATTATTGTTGCGACTTTGTTTCTCTCTCGAATTTTACATCTTCTCCGAGTGGGATGTGCGCGCAAAAACAAAAACACGTAATTGTACACAACCGTTGTCTAAAAGTCTACGTGTTGAACACACCAAGTGGCGAATTATCACGTCGGTGAGACAGCGCGTGAGATTTTGTTTTGCGTAACGAAATAAATAACATTGATCGTAAAAAAATCACATGTGAAAGTTACGTAACCAAGTGATATGGAAAAACAATGTTATGTCGCAAAACGGTGTTTTATATTATTTACGGCATCTCGCAAATGTTTGACGAGCGAGCTGTGTATAATTGTTTAGGCGCAAAAGTGAGAGTTGCGTTTTTTTTTTGTTCTATCCGCGGAGAGACCGAAGAAGAAAGTGTCACTCGGGGGGGAAGGATATTTCGAAACGCTTACTTTCGATTTGATATCGCAACAAGCCTTGCCTCGTTATTTCGGACGCTAATATATATATTTTTTAAATGTATCTCTGGTTTTTTTTTTTTTTTTTTTAAAGCAAATTTGTTGCGTTGTGTTCTGCGAGACAGTAAAACACGCGCGCGCGTTTAACAACGTCGCGCCTCGCCGGACGTGCACGCGCAAAATTCACTTTCCGCTCGTAAAATCTATCAATCCGGGATCCGGTCCAGTGATCTCTCGATGATAAAGTTCTTCGCTTAAGCAAGCGAAATTACATTAGTTCGGAAAACGATAGAAAGTTCTCGCGAGACGAAACATTTCTTTCTCGCCGAAGTTCTTCTGTGTTTTGGTGATTAAATTTAACAGTTCGCATCCTTTTAAGTCGGACGAAAGAAATGTTGGTGATTCACAGATCGGCTGAATATGATCGAAACGTCAGAATTACTTTCGTTTATTTCTATCACCGGTGAATCGTAGCTACACCGAAAAAATTTATATTCTCGTAAGTAGAAGATTTTATACTTAAAAAATCTTCTTAAAGATTCTAGATGATATTCTTCTGAAATTAAGAATATAATTCTTTATTTAAAAATATAGTCTTTTTCGATAGTGAGATATATATGTTTTTCTATAGAGGCTTTTTATATTCTAATCAGTATATATTATTATCAATATTACTATTTAGAGGATTTTCCTCTTAAAATAAGAAACTCTTCTTGGCGCCTATTTTAGTATAAAATATACTTAAAGTAAGTGGGATGTCCTCAAAACAAGAATACAATTTTTTCGGTGTAATAATACTCGTTTCCGGATCTTTTCTTTCGGTTTTTTTTTTTTTTTGCACTTTTTCGGGATCCCGCCGTAAAATCCACACACGCGGCTTTGTTATTTTCTTGAATTTCTGAGAATATTTCAGATCTGTGATCAACATCAACTACATATCGATGTGACGCGATCTCGTTTGTAAACAATTGCGCAAGTCCATGTGTTGCAAATACATTACGAAATTTTTTTTTTTCAATTCTGATAACGAGATTTTATCTCTGTCTGATCGTAGCCGCAGATTGTGCGACTTCGGACGAGACGTAATTGCGCGCGTAATAGAGAATTATGTCATCGCGTGTGTGTAATAACAACGACTGTGTCAAGTCGATGAGTGAAATTCAATCAAGTTTCTCCGTTAAAATGCAGAAAAGCTACAGACACGGCACGTGGTGTGTGTGTGTGTGTGTGTGTGTGAGCGCCGCGCGCGCCTCTTTTACAATCCTGTTATCCTGTTACCTTCATGCATCTATCTTTACTTTTGTATAGAACCCGAGGTATTTACTGCTTTTCAACTTTGCGTCTGAATGGTCACAAAGAACGTATTGTAAGATTCGCACGTCATTCGGTGGTAGACATCGCAGTCCATCCATCGTGTTACAGATATTCGCGGCGACGAACAATGTGAATGAATCTAAATATAAACAAATCAAACGTGTAAAAATATCCATTCGTTAAACCGATGAATAATTTTTTGCGAACTTTTTTATAATAATCATCATTTTTACATTTTACGCGAAAGATCCACGAAAAAAAGCAGAAGATCCGGAATTTTAACACACGCTTCTGGTCGTGCATAAATTTTGCGTGCAACAGGCTTTGCGTGCAATAAAAAATGTTTCTCTCTCTCTATTAACTACCGATGTGTTTGGAAACAGAATTATTTTGTCAGCTCGAGAGAGCTGCATTTCAGATATTGAAAGCGCCTGGCAGGAAGGCAACCCACTTGTGCTTCTTTGCGTGATAAGTTGTCTACTTCCCAGGCGTTACTCGAGCGTCGGAGACGCTCATGTTTGTTTATAAAATACAAAATGATTGTTAGCAATGAACGTGTTCGCAACTCTTGTACATATATAATGTTGACATTATATATAACATTATATATAACTATATTACAATGCAAAAAATTCTGTGATCAGTATAAATCGAGCGAGAGAATTCAGAAGCAATGTGAACGCGCGTTCGACTGATACAGGATGTCATTTCGCTAACTTTTAATTTGTCTGTTTCGCGACGTTTAACTTTCGACAAGCGTGTACAAGAAAACAACAGGCTGTTCAAGTTATTAGCGGAATATCGCGCGATATCTTGAATAAACAAAACGATAAGGAATTTAATGAGCGACAAATGTCGAACCGTCGATATTCTTTGTCGGAAACAAAAATGAGAGCCAACCGAAAGCGCGATATTTTTTTCGATAAAAATCATGACTCGAAGCAACAACGAGAAGCTTGCGACGACGCATTAAATGACGTGGTTGTTTAATTATTTAAATTAAAGTCGTCGAGAGATCGGGACGAATTTTCGAGACCGTTAAGAGACAGTTTGAGAGCGGCACAATTCCGAATCTGACAGAAGAGGGTTAAAACGCTCGACCTCGTTCGATCGGAAACGCATCGTTTATTTCACCTTGAGTTGAGAAAAGCGACCGCCCCGGTCTTTTTTTTTTTTTTTTTTTTTTCTCGTTCGCGCGCGGCTCTCCGATCCCATTAGTCCACGCCTCTCTTATATGCTCGCGAAGCCCTACAAAAAAAATACATACAACTTGTCTCTTTTGATACTTGTGTCTCGTACTGAGGAAATATCTCAGTCGAACGATACGCGCGAGCAGGGCGATGTGCGAGGAGGGCTCGGTCAGAGCGAGAATAGCGCAGTTGGAGGGTGAATAATCATTAATCGCGGATCGTAGCTCGCTAACGAACGTTTTTTACGTTATATTTCGAAGTTATATTTTCTCACACCGTTAATAATTCTCTGTCTTTAAGTGAAATAATAAATGCGAGAGGATTTTATTTCGAGACGAATTTAACCATACTTTTGTTGTTTATTCGTTGTTCGTTTATTCGTTAAATAAATTTTATTGTGTTTATTTATTCGTTTTAGGAAAGAAGATGGCACCGGTTCTTGGCGTACCACCTCCGCCACCGCCGGCTCCTCACATGGGACCAGACGGCCTGATATTGCCGAGGAAACCGTATAACCCTTGCCTTACCTCCTCTAATCATAAGGATCTTCACAGAGAATTACTTTTCAATCAGAAGATGTAAGTTGTTGAATCGCGTTCTCGAGCAATTTTCGCGTTTAAATTAAAACTCGCTTCTCGCAACAGATGTTGGTTCACAGTAGAAAGTTTGACAGAGAAAGATACTTGTTTTTAATCGACCGTGTGTACATATTTAAAAAATTTTCATAAATTATACCGTTTTGCGGTAACGTACCGCACGTTTCTAATATTATTTTTTGAGATTATTGTAATCTCGTTAATTTCTCTCCAACTGTAATCGAAGTATACTTTTGCGATAGCAACTTTTACGTTTTTAAGTAAATTTGCATTTATATCCAATCTGACGCGAGGAACGTTATGTTAAACATAAAGAAAGAAGATTTTCTAGAGGAAATATTTTACCGTTTTCCTGACCGGGTAATATCTCGATAGAGATAATGTGTTCGTTATATGAAAATGGAAAGCCAGTTTCCTGCGTGAAAAACTTCCCGATGAAAGTTGACCGTGATGGCCGGAAACCATTTTCTTCTCATCGTACGCAAATTTGATGCGTGCGGTAGACGTATGGAGATTGGACAACACGCCAAGTGTTTTATCCTATCGGAAAAATCAATGTTTTATGCAATTAGATTATTTTCGATCGAATCGAAATCGAGAGATAAAGTCGGCCGCGTTTCTACTTTGTTTTTTTTCTGTACACTGATCAGTATTCGACACACCTGCGTTTCTTCACGCTTCGATGGAATTAAGCGGTTCACGCTTACCGACTTTTACCTTGGCACGCAATATCCAATTTACACGTGGCTTTTCCACGTGCGAATCAAATAACTCGCGGTACTTTATTCCGACCAGTGTTTTTTTTTTTATGTATATTTGATCCCTCGTCGCGCGACCGACATCTCACGTACTCGAACAAAGATGTTTCGATTTGCTTGAACACATTCTTTTGACACGTCTTTTTTTTCCTTTAAGTTGTTAGAAATTTTTTGCAAGTAATTTTCTCAAAGTGAAAGTAGTCTTTTTGTAATCAGAAGAGGAAAGTTGGTCCGGATAAGGATTTCATTAAGCGAGCGTCTTTCTTTTTTTTTTTTTTTTTTTTCCCTGCAGTGGCAGAAACGTCTTGAACCAAAAGAGCGAGCTACAACGTGCTCTGGAGAAACAGAGAGAAGCCGCGTCGAGAAGGGAAGCTGAGAGGCTACGAGAGGAAAATTACAAAGACGATCCTAGGACCGCGTTGCAGAGGGCGATCGAGCAAAGAGCGCGACACATTCAATTAACAGTAAGCGTCTTGAGATGTGGAAATAAATCTTATAATTAACACTAGATTTACCAGACCAGTCATTTTGACTGGTCGTGCAATTTCAATTCAAAATTTTTACTGCATGTAACATTTGCTTTCCGAGATGATGTTATGACTTTTGTAGCTATAAGTAGAGAATACATTTTATGAACTTAATGTTACTTTATATGTATTCGTAACAAATATATTTTTTGTATTTTTTAATAGGTATATTTAAATAACTGGTATATCTAGTGTTAAGATCCAACTATGAATATCGCGGAGTATATTCGTATGTAGAAAGTGTTTTTATAGACACACACACACACACAGTATTTAACATATTAAAAAATATATTGATCGATTTATATTATTGATGTGTGCGATTGTTTTTTTTTTTTCTCAGCAAGAACAATCGCAGGCGACGACGGATCCGCCGAACAATCCTCTAATAACGGCGAGAGCGAAGCTGAGACCTCGCACGGAGTCCCAGTGAAGAGTCGCGGCGGAGAGGATCGGAGCGATCGTGCGAATCGTGTCGCGCTTGAGAGGAAGATTGATCAATCAAGATTCAAGTCGATCCGCTCTGGCGGCTCGTAATTTTATACCCGAGCGCCTTTTATCGATCGCAATCACATGTACATAAGCATAACCCGATAAGATGTTGTTGGCGCAGGGATTAGGCGCGGCGTCGTCATTCGGCACGTCACAGAAAGTAGTCGTAACAGACGTTTAAGATAACAGATAAGGAACTTGAGTACGCGGAGAGTATTATTTATAATCGCGAGAGAGAAAAAAGAATTGGTAGATTTACCTCGTAGTTAACACACATATGTGCGCGCTTTTTTAGCGCACACACCACACATACGGTTGCGTCAACAAGCCAGGAAAATCGATCGGTCTGAATTGCGTAAGTTTTTAAACGACACGTCGCGAAAATTACACATCGTTATCTTTAAACGATGTCGTTTACAGTTGCCTAGATCAAATAACAAACAAAAAAAAAAAAAAGGCTCGTAACTACGTCACGATGTACAATCAGCAAGCAACCCACGTGTCTTTGTCGCGTTTAATAGTTAAATCAGTGTGCCCAATTTAGATGACAGTTCGAATGATGATATTTACAGTTATATATATACATATATATATATAATATATATATCTATATATATATATTTAATATATATATATATACACACACATTGAATTATTATATCGGGTATATGAGTGCGATTATTATGTATGTGTAAACCTCCTTGAGAACATATACATCAACATATTTTTTCTTACGAGGAGAGAGAAAAATTTTATGCGCATCTGTCTGTCGCGCGAGAGCATGGAAGGTGCGATAGTCGCACGCAGTTTTACAGTATAGAACAGATGGACAAAAAATAGAGAGACAATAGCGGTTAGAGGAGCAATGCGGAAAAATTTACTCGTAGTTTTTGGCGTCGGTCGTGTAATTTTAGTTAGACATCTCTGGTCTCGATCTTAAAACGATCTCTCAGTATCTCTTTTTAATTCAAAAGACAAATGTGTCTTTTACAGTACAACTTTCCGAAACGTATATACAGTCGGGATCGACCAACCTCCCAAAACGTATACTTCCCCTTTTTCCTTTGCTCTTTAACTCACGCGTGCGCAGACACTTACTGTGCTAGCGCAGTTTTGATTGTAATCATACTTTAGCGTGGTCGGACAAGCTATGATAGAAAGAATATACGTTTTGAAAGTGAGTGCGTATACGTTTTGGGGAGTTCTACCGTATTTCTAAAGTTGTTTTTATTGCATTTCTGATTGTTCACACATTAAAAAGTCGGTTATGTTGTTTAACAAGTTTTTTTTTCTTCTAATTTAACGTCACACACTCGTTTAGAATTCAAACTCACGCGCGAGTGTGCAAATCAAGAAATTACGATGCAACATTCAGTTTCCAATGTGCACTTCCCTCAAGTCTACGTTTTGAGTGAACCTACGTGCCCGGGCGATAAATTCGCGATGCACTCGGTCGCTTTCTCTTCTCTTCCCTCGTGGACGTCACGACGATGTCTTCCACGATTCTCGACGTGATTCGGGCACGTAGAAAAAACGTATCTTGCACTTGAAGCTTTGATCGATCAACGGTGGCATTACTTTCGTGTCTTCGCCGGACAAGTGGCAGACAAATAATGCAGATTCCACAAAAATATATATATATATATACAACTAATCGCGCACAACTTATCGTTAAAATTGTCTACCCCCGTTGCGAGTCAATATAACCGAAATTTTAATACTGTTTATTATTACGCATATGCGAAAAATGTATGAAATCGCAAAAGGTGATGTCACTGGAGGTAGAGTAGTGGAGGTAGTTTTCGGTAGAAAAACACGAAACGATAGATCAGGATTTCGCGGGACCATGTGTTTGTAGGTTTCACCGTACGGCAGAGAGAAATGTAATCTGCCTCGCGAGACAGTTATTAGCGAATCGCGTATTTAGGTATCGAATTATCGATGTCAATAATAACAATTATTATATTTCACAATACGTTTAGAGAGAATCCTCGCGAAGAAGCGCGTAACATCTTAGGTCTAAAATAACAAACAAGCCGTTGAGGAGAAAGTTTTGTTGTAACTTTTTTTTTTTTTTTTTTTAATTTAAAAACCAATTTCACGAGATGTTTTATAACACACAATTCGCGCTTAAAAGCGTGAGGAAAAATATAAATTCTCACACTCAAAGAGAAGCCACAGAGATGAATAGGTTGTTTTGTACAATTGTCACATGTATATGCTAGGACTACGTTCCAACACTTAATTGTTTGTATTCAAGGACCGCAAGGACAAGGTCGAATAAGTCGAATTCCAAGTATATATATTTAACTCTAAGTATTATTTTCATTTCATCGTGTAAAAGAAAACGAATAAAAGGACGTTACGAGATGAACGAACACAGAGCATTTTTTTTCCAAAGTGTAATTTATAAAAAAATATCTTTAAAAAAGAAAAAAGGATCAACAGAGAAATGCGAACCAGTGTAAGCTAATATATATTTTGAAAAAATCCAACATCGCTAAAACAAGAAAAAAACCCAAGTGCAAAAAAAAAACAAACTTCCTCAATGACACGCATATAATAATACAGAAACCATTTGTTTACGTTGGAAACATTTATGTAACATGTTATATTGTAGCGATGATTCTTATTCACATGTTCATCGCGTGTTACGTAAAAGATAAGATTAAATCATCAATTGCGTTCTGATAATCAACAATAATTCCTGTGAAAACAAAACCTCGATTTAACTCTCGCTGCTAAGAGCGATTATCTAAATAAATGAGTCTTGATAAATGCGCGTTTGTTTAATTTTTGCTTATCAGCAGCAAAACAAAACGCGTGTGTGTTCGCACACGCATTGTTTTATAATACTTCTTGATAGCATATCTCGATTGTTCAAAATGTATATTTCGGAGAATAGATCGATCTTCTCTCTTTAATCGAGTAAGAGAGAGAGAGAGAGGGAAAACAAAAAAAGTTTTCCATTGTAATGTTTTAATTTTTCACATGTTTAGTTCTGCGCGTTGTAGCTTGAGAAATTGTGTAAAATTGGAAACACAAAAAAAAAAAAAATTTAATAATCATCTCCACGAGAAATAATTTCTTTACACGTTGGACGCAGGACGAGAGTGTGCTCGAACTGAGCGGTGTAGCAACCTTTGACATCTACCAACGGTGGATACGCCTCTACGGCGCCCTTTTCGCAAAGATCCTTTAGCGCCATTTGATATTTGGTACAACCAACACGATCCAACCAGCGTTTGCAGAAAGCCAAAGTACCTGAAAAACGCGAACACATCCTCCGTAGAATAACGAACAATCGGGTATCAGATCTCTCGCACACCTATGAGTCTTGATTGACTTCTCTCCAGAGAGAAGACTGAAAGCGGCCAGTCCCATAAGAGAATGTGTAATCGCTTTTACATCCAGTAAGCTGCCACGTCCAGCGCAATGTCCGAGAATTATGCACATTGACAACTACGTAGCTACTGTTCACGAGCTACTTGTCGGTGCGCGCGCTATGTCCAAACATGGACATGGTTCTATTCCGCGCTATGTTCACAGCATGCGGTTCTATTCTGATATTCACATCCTGACCGGTAAGTTCACATTCTCACGCTCATATCTCGGTCGGTTAAGTTCATAACATGATCGGAATAGAACCGCACGCTGTGGTTATATAGCGCGAAAGAAAACCATGTCTTTGGACACAGCGTACGCACCGACGAGTCGCTCGTAGACACGGTTGTAGTTGCTATCGTGCGCCATCCATGGACACAGCGCTGACTTACAGGGCGTAAAAGCTATTAGTTTTTCTATACGGCCCTGGCCGCTCTCAGTCTTTCCTCTTGTTTCTTTCTTCAACTCGCTCGGATGAGATGAGAAATAGCATTATTTAGACATGTTTACAGATATTCCTTACCAAAATGCTTGTTGATGGTGTTGAGAAGAGACTTGCTGCTTTGTAATCGTAATGGCACGAAACCGGCGTCGAAGCTCTTCATGTAATGCGAGCACTCCATGTCATCGTGAACTATACCTCTACCGGTGGAACCGAAAGTTTCAATCGCGTAGAATTCGTTTTCCTCCATACGCGTCGCTTCGCCACCCCTGACAATTGGTACGGTTTTTCCTGCGTGAATGCGATACGGCGCAATGGAGTGGCCATTCAGATTCCTAATCGATCTCACCTGCGAAGAAAATATTGTTATCTATTAAAGAAAATTCAACTCATTAAATGTAAAAAAAAAAAAAAAAAAAAATATTTCATAGATAAATTTACCAGATAAGTTTTCCCGTCCAGTTCAACCTCGTAGGACTCCATGACTTCTTGAACGGCAGCGCCAACGTCGCACAACTGCACGTCAATACCCGCAGCTTTGATACCGGTGTTGGTGGCGTCGCGAACAGCTTCGATCAACTTGTCGTATTTCGGATTAAACGTCAGGGTGAAAGCGCAATCTATAATACGACCGTTAATATGCGTCCCAAAATCAATCTTGGTGACGTCGTCGTACTCAAGAACGGTCGGATCGCCAGCGTTCGGGGTGTAATGCGCCGCGCAATGATTGCGGGAACATCCGGTTGGGAACGCTAATCCAGCCTTGAGACCGTCTTCCCCGATCAATTTTCGAGCAGTCTCTTCTAATTCGTTGCAGATCTCTATCATGGTCATTCCCGGTTTTACCTGAACAATTCATAAATATGATTCTATTTCTTAATTGTTCCAACTTGTACGTAAGTGGACGTTAAATGTAGCTTTTCCAAAACAAATTTGAAAAAGAAAGTGTTTGACAATGGTTGCGTTCAGACAACTCAACGGTTGAGAGATCATCACTCATGATAGGACTATTCTTCAAAATCTGCTGCAGTTCCAAAAATATGATCCAATCAGAAGTGATTATCTCTCAACCGTTGTACAACTGTTGAGTTGTCTGAACGCACCTAATTACATATACAAATTTACACACCCATTTCATAATATGCTTTCTGGTTTGGCGATGAGCTTCGGCGGCTTGTCTCGCCTCGTTATAAATGTCATTGTGCATACGGTCGAGGGCGCGCGCCTCCTCGCTTGTGAAACGATCCTTTGCCGTTCTGTGATCTATCCCGGCGGCAGGTGGATGATCCATTATTTCTCCTATGGGGAAATTGCCATCCGGAAATAATTCCGACACGGGAACACTAGGCGGATCGGTCTGTTGTTTTGCGCCACCCTTGTTTCGGGGCTTGCGCTTCTTCTTTTTCTTCTTCACCTCTTCGCTCTCGCCGTCATTCTCAGCCGTCTCTGCTGCGCCTGAAATAGTTTTGGCAAACATTTGATTATAGTTTTTTTTTTTGAAAAGTAAATGTTATGTTATTTACATCATTGTCATATATATAATTACATTCTCTTCTCTCACTTTTGTATCTCAATTTTGTGTTGAGGATTCAGAAGTACACATCTTTAAATTTTATAAAAGTCTTTACCTTCGGCCACCGTATCGTCATCTTTAGTTTTGTCGTCTTCCCCTTCCGGGACATCTGCGCTGGCTTCTCCAGCACCTAAAATAAAATATCTAGTATCAAACACACTTCTGTACACGTTACCCCGAAGTGCTAAATTGTCTCTCGTTACAAGATAAAATCCACACAAATCTCGCACAGCGAGATCAGTTGCAAAACTGAAAAACAAGGTGCGAAAGTACAAACATGAGTACCTTCGTTCGTACTCTGGAAAAAAATAATAAATAAATAACGAGCAAAGTATCGCAAATCAAAGTAAATGTAAAACACGAGCAATTTCGTTCAATTACACCGCGGTACTTGAACCGGAACTCGCGGAATTTCTCGCGCGATATATCTCGCGGTGGCGTGCCGCGTGTGAAGGTTACGCGAGAAACGGCTATTAACAATTAAACAACAAAAAGGCAAACGCACCGGCCTTCTTCTTCTTTTTCTTCTTCTTCTTCTTCTTCGAAGCTTCGGCGGCGCCGGTTTCCTCTTCCACGTCAACGATCTCGTTCTTCTCCTCGTCCACCTGCTTTTCAGCTGACTTGCCGACTTCGTCTAACACGGCCGCCATTTTCGCACAATGACGACCAAACTCCGCTACGGCAGCTTCTTCGTCTTACAACTGTGTGTTTGGTTTGGAATGTTTGGATACTTGCGCGCTTTTTTTAGGCTTGCGTCATTCCATCTTTCTCGCTCGTTTGAAGATAAAACAAGAACGCGTGATAAATTTTACTGTTACGCTGATATCGCACCGCGAGATTAAAAAATTCAATTGGAATGTAACCAATCGGAAGTCAAAGAAAGTCAAATTTCAAATCTACCTCTTGTTGAACATTTTTCATCTTCCGATCGATTAAATTACTCTCTGAGGCAAGTTTTTTATTTCACTGATAGAAATTAAATCCACAAATCCTAATCTCAATCCTACGGTTCGGTTGTTCATCTTGACTTTTAGACGACCTTAAAAATAAGATTCGATCGTGAATACCGGCCTAAATGCGGCGGTTTGAATCTCGACTGCGAAACGCTAATTTTTAGCGAAGACTCGAAACATTCAAAGAGCAACGTGGTTCAATTCTCGACTAAAAAAGCGACAATGAGTCTCGCAGTTGCCGCGGAGGGCGCCACCAGCGCGAGACTTATCCTCGCGCGACGCGCGATGCGCATCAGTCGGATGCTGTTGCTCGAACGGTGCGTTTATTGGGGGGAGGGAAGTGTTTTCCTCGGCACGCGCGTTCTTCTCTCTCTCTCTTTCTCTCTCTCTTTCTCTATCTCTTTTTCTCTCTTTTTCTTTCCGTCCCTCTTTGCGCTCTGACAAACGCGGACATGACGCGCGAAGAAGCGTAGCCGCGCTTTCGCGTTCACAGATGAAGAGCGTCGAATTATCGGACACTTCTCTCTTTCGTTCGTCGCGCCGCAGTCTCGTTTGTTGCCGTTGTTCTCTCAACGATTTATTACCACACGCACACATAACACACGGTACGTGCGCCTCTCTTATGGGCGTTTCTATTCTCTCCTTTCCCCTTCGCGTGTGGAACTCGTACTTTTATTAATAATAATTATCATATTTCATTTTTTCTTTTTCTTCTACAGGATTGGAAGCCGAAAACTCGTTACTCGTTCCTCGAAACCTCTCGCGTCTCGAACACCGGTAACACCTCGCGATTATCGAGAGGGAGAGAGCGCTCGATCTTCGCGGGTCGAACAAGTCTCCCTCTCCGCACACGGCCACATTTCCCCTCGTCGTGTTTGTACGCGCGCGGCTGCTGCTGCGTCGCTCGTGTTAAAATAAGTCAAGTGTGTGTGTGTGTGTGTACGCGAGAGAAACGAAAAGGAGAGACAACGTGATTCGAGATGTGTTTTGTGATGATTATTCGCTCGGCGTGAACGAAATTCCGCGCGACGGAGCCGACGAGTTTCAGGAAGCGGCGCGCCGTGGCCTGGTCACACCACCACGACCACCGGCTGCTGCTCGACGTTTCGAACCTCACCGACAAGGGGGAGGACGAAGAGGAGGAGGAAGAAGAGAAGATCGTTTTCGGAAGGATGTGCGGCTGAACAAGGATTCGTTGCTGGTGAGTGTCACGCGCTCTGTCCAACTTTACGCATCCGCGATTTTTCTTTGTACGTATTTTCTTGTCGTTTCTCGCTACGATCAACAAATCGTCGCGTTTACATGATTTGTTGTACACTACCTAGTGTGTGTGTTGTAATGCAGCGCCTCGATTGATTTTCCGTTTCTACATCTAGTAGTTTATTAACGACTGTTGCAAACGACTTTTATTGACTGCTTATCAGCGACCGACTTCTCCACGTCCACCACGTAGGTGTTGATTCAATTTCGGTGATCAATTTCGCACATTACATTAAAGCAAATGATTTTTTTTTTTTTCTAAATGATTTTGACCGTTTAAATTGCAACGCAATTATGGGATCCGATCAAAAACCTCGAGAAAAACCTCTTCTCTCATCTTCAACTTCTCGCAGAAAATTCTATTTCGAGTGTTATATAATTACGAAACGTCGAAGAATGGTGTTCAAACTCGGTGGGAGGTAGTACAGAAAAAAAAAAAAAAAAAAAAAAAAAACCAGCAGCGTGCGTGCGATAATTATTCTTGTTCTGCGATAGTTCCGATGATCGTTACATTCGAACCGAGTGCGTAATTGTCACATTTTTATCTAATCACAAACGGAATAGCGAGTGACATTGAAGTTGAATGCTACGAGTTACTGCTACATTAGGTTAACTCATGTTCGTTCATTGAAGCAAATTACAATAGTAACAAACAAGTAAAATGTATTTGCATCAGCACACGATGCGCGCGTTGGACTCAGAAATTATTTTACGATTGTAAAAGTAGATTTTTTTTTTATTATATTCACTATCGAACGCTTGTGTAAGAAAATATTTTCGTTTATCGCGTTTTTCGTTCGAATTTGAATTTAAATCAAAAAATTCAAATAGAACGCAATGTAATCGCCGATTACGGTCGTATCGTCTTGAATCTGGTGAGAGATTCGATTCTATTGTTTCTCGAGAGACGAGATGCCTTCTTCCGATTCTAGACGTTCTGGAAAGCACGTCGTGGAAAGTTCGTAGGCAGGTAATCTCGTTCGAGAATTTCGCCTCGCGCGAATCGTTCGCACGAACGATGTCGGGTTGTGGTCGTATCTATAGATCGCTTTTCGGTTGACGGCATGGAAATAATTCAAAACGCAATTATCTCTAACTTTGGTACGTAAGCGAGCAACCTATATGCACATAAGCGAAGTAGAAATCGAAGGAAAACAGAGTCGCGCGCGGCGGTGGATGTGACATACACCGAAAAAAATTGTATTCTTGTTTTGAGGATATCCCACTTACTTTAAGTATATTTTACACTAAAATAGGCGCCAAGAAGAGTTTCTTATTTTAAGAGGAAAATCCTCTAAATAGTAATATTGATGAGAATATATACTGATTAGAATATAAAAAGCATCTATAGAAAAACATATATATCTCACTATCGAAAAAGACTATATTCTTAAATATAAAGAATATATTCTTAATTTCAGAAGAATTATCATCTAAAATCTTTAAGAAGATTTTTTAAGTATAAAATCTTCTACTTACGAGAATATAATTTTTTTGGTGTAATAAAATTTGAAATGTATTCTTTTTTTTTTCATCTTTATCATTAAAACATTTATATAATTTTGCAATTTTTTATTTTGACATTTTGTTCGCGTTTGAATCGGCGCCATATTTTATAAATATAATTAATTAGTGTACCTTTCGAGTATATTCACCGAAAAAATTGTATTCTTGTTTTGAGGATATCCCACTTACTTTAAATATATTTTATACTAAAATAGGCGCCAAGAAGAGTTTCTTATTTTAAGAGGAAAATCCTCTAAATATTGATAAGAATATATACTGATTAGAATATAAAAAGCCTCTATAGAAAAACATATATATCTCACTATCGAAAAAGACTATATTCTTAAATAAAGAATATATTCTTAATTTTTCAGAAGAATATCATCTAGAATCTTTAAGAAGATTTTTTAAGTATAAAATCTTCTACTTACGAGAATATAATTTTTTCGGTGTATAGGCTCTGAAAGTCGGGTCAGTTTCACGGGAGACCTGAGAAATAAGGTTTTTTTTCTCATAAAACATTTTATATCGAGTCGTGGATAATTTTTGTTTTCGATTTTCTACCGCGCAAGAATGTTTCATAGATTAAGATGCAACGCTTCATAAAGATGCAAATGGATATAAAAAAAGAAACTTTGTTGTTTGTGCGGGCCAATTGTGTAGCCGATTAGACTCTCTCGAGAGTTTTTCACGATAGGATAGGGTACCTCAAAACTTGATCCGAAACTTGAAACTTGAAACGAGCTCGAGGCTCGTTTGAGCGAACAAGTTTACAAACGTCGAAGATGGAGAAAACTCACTCTATAAATATTCGCTCGCAAAGCGCGTTTCGAAGTTTGTGCGAACTTGTCAATTATATCAGACTTGATAATAGATTTTGTTAAGACGAGAGAAATAATCCTGTTCGACGTCGCTTTATATTTCAGCGTCGGTTTTTAACGTCACTACAATCGGAGAAAAAATTGATCGCAGTAGTTTCGCAACGTTCGTCAATTCGACGGTTATTTGAAACAATGTTTTGTTCTTTTGGAATAATTAATTAAAACACTCTTGCAAGGAGTTTTAATACTTGATTCTTTCAAAATAAAACTACTCCGAACATCCCCTTCTTGGCCTAAGGCTGAAGTGAATAAACATTATAATACTCGGAACATTTCTCGGCGATTCGAAGTAAGTAAAAAAATCCGTCATTTTGACGACGAGTTCGGATGTTTTCTCTGGTGTTGAGAGAAATAAAAGTTTTCAACTTTTTGCGGCAATCTCCGCTACTTATGTACACATAGATAAGTGTCAAACAAGATTGCAATTATTTACACAAGAGTTATCGATCGTCAATGTGAACGATGAGAAGTGATGCTCGACACTTGACGGGGTTCATTCATAAAAAGTAATCGTCACGAGATATCGCGACAACAATCGCCGGCAACACGAGCGTGTGCTTGCTGACAAAATACATATAAGATAAATAAACACGCGTATTTTGGCAGATATATAAATTGATTTTCTCACTTTTGCATATCTCGATCGCGCCGTTATCGTTGCGTTGAAATTCCGGATTTGGTAATCTGATAATTACCGCGCTAATTGAGGCGTAATTATCAGATTACAACGTTCAGGATCAGGTGCAAACGCGCGGTTGATAAGAATTTAATTGACAATTAACTATTTGAATTGTGTTTGATCAAAACACTTGTGTAGACGCATCACCTTTGCGGTTGCTTATATTAAATTTACATTACTCTTTTTGTTTTTGTTTTCGGTGCGCGGTTTGATTCGTCAATCAAAACATTTAAAACGCCCGCGCGTTTGTGAATATTCGCGAGAATATCTTCACAAGCTTGAGTTCCGGTTGAAATGTGTTTTGGTTTTACACACTCAGCAAATTTTTCAACATAAAGCAAAGATATTTAGATGATAAATAAATTTTTTGTTGAGAATGAGGCATTTTCCGGTGAATTGAAGTCGAAATTGACAATTTCGTCGCGCGTCTCTCTCGTCACATGTTTTCGTTAAATCAAATTCGATCTTTGTTTCTCGTCGGAAAAACGCGACGCAAAAGTCACCGCAATTTTATTATTATTCACAATAATATATACAATTGTAGCGTTATTCAAATTCTGTTCACATTGGCGACGATATCTCGATATTACATCATTATTTATTTATTCGTCGTTTTTCATCGAGTGCATCGCGCCGGTGTTGCGCACATGCTCGCGCGCCGATACAAGCGGCGCGATATTGTTTCTTTTTTTTTTTTTTTTTTTTTTTTTTTTTTTTGAAGGTTTTTCTTACTGTTAGTATGCAAAACGAGTCACATCCCGGGAGAATCGATCATTTCCGTTTTTAATTTGCCACCGCTGATTTTTATCCGGACTTTGTTGAACGCAAACTCGGTGCTTCAATTGTGTCGACTAAGTAAATATTTTTTTAAGATATTCTTTCACATTTTTCCCGCTAGAACAACCAGAGTTGAATACGTACCTCAGTTTTACCTTAGCTTTTACGTCTGCCAATTGGATATTTGAAAGAAAAAAAGAAAAAAAACGTTTTATTAATTTTGTTCGTATTTAAGCAATTAATTAACAAAAAAAACACACATTCTCTGCATAACATTCTGCAAACGGCTCTTACAACCGAATTTATTTTATTCATTTGTTTAAAGACTCCGGAGCCCGAGGAATCTTCTTCTTGTTTACACCGAAAAAATTGTATTCTTGTTTTGAGGATATCCCACTTACTTTAAGTATATTTTATACTAAAATAGGAGCCAAGAAGAGTTTCTTATTTTAAGA